CCCAGAGAACTTCAGTTTTAATATTGTTAAAGATTTTTACATTGTACGTGGCCGTTTATACAAAACGCCTTTTCGCAATCATTAGAAGCATTTCTATTGTTTTTCCAATACAACACATGACAGACCCGACTTATTTGACTTTTGCGCTCAAGCCTCGTGCGTAAAATGGGATTCTATCATCAAGTTAAAAGAAGTTCAACTTAATAAAAACGTGTGCCACTGGTGATGGGAGCAAATAACAGTAAGAAGCGGAAAATTTTTGAATCAATTAAGTTACACTGCTTCACAAAATCATTCACTTTCTCGAAGCGCTCGAAACGCCACACGCTGGTGACGCCTGCTGGTCAGAATGGTGTCATGCAACAAAAACTCAGGCCAAAAATGCATTAAAACATCTTTTACAAATTAATTACAAATGTTTTATTGAAAGATAATCTATTAAATGCAATTAACAAATCATCTAATACCATTAAATATGAATATGTAAATGTATATATATATTTTATTATTTTTTCTGGCTTGTTTTGTATTATTTATTGATTAGCTTGTTATCAGGACAATAAGAGATAAATGACTACAATTATTTTTTATTAGGTCTATGTGTCATTAAAATATCGACAAATTATCCTAGCGACGAACCACTGGAATTTCGAAACCAGATACAATAAAGAAGGTGGTTCCAATTAAACACGAATAGGTTTCAAGTAATTTTCACGAAGCAGTAGAACACGAAAAACGCGAGCTTTTTGAAAAGTTGAACTTCTTTAACTTGCCGCGATTTTAGAACGCCGTGACTTTCACTGGGTTTTTTTTATGGCTACAGGTAAAAATATAAAATAACTTAAAATCAAATTAACGTGTTATACTTACGCATTTATTTATTTGGTGAGTAGCCTACAGCAGCCCAGTAAGCGTGATTGTGTAAAGTCAGCAGGTAATTATCGCAAAATAAACTCCATGACTGGCTGACCGCACATTATCCCGTACTTAACACGTCCCAAATTCTGGGTTGCATCAACATTTTCTGAAGGATAAGCAGCTTTTACGGTCTATTTTTGAAAAATAATTAAAGAAAGACTTTCAGGCCATCCCTTACCAAAAAGTAGTATACTTCAAGTTTATTTTATTAAGTATACTTAAGTAAAGTTCAAGTATATTTTTAAGTATACTTTACGTAGTAAGTATACAAATATCAGTGTACTAGTAGTATACTTGTAAGTGTACTATTTCAATACTACTTAGGACTAAATTGGCCCACTTTCTAGTATATAAAAGTATACTTTTAAGTATACTTTAAGTATAACAGTAGTAAACTTTGAGTACACACCTCTTCATTGGTCGACATTTTATTCCATAACGTTACACAGTTTTGATGCTGTTTTATGTCTGATGATCGTGTTAGATTACATGTGGAAGCATCTGTTGTTTCGGTTTCTTCTTCACTTGTGTTTTTTGGACATTTTTGGATTCTAGGAGCACAAGCATAGCTAAAATATATTTAGACTTTTTCTAAGTATAAGTCAAGTATACTTAAATGTCATTTTAAGTATATTTCTGAGAAGTACATAAAGCCCATTTCTGAGTTATACATAAAAAGTATACTAAAAGTATACTTCCCTATTTTAAGTTTAAAAGAAGTATACTAATAGCACACTTGAATAAACTTCTTTTTCGCAAGGGATTTTGTGCCGTTTGTGCAAAGTGCCATTTACGCGTGTAATGCATCCCTTGACTCCTGCAGCTCGTTGTTTTTCGACTCTCGTGTTGATCTCCTCTCCTCCTGCGCGTGGAAACAGGAGGACAGTCACTCAGTCAGTCAGAATCTCTCCTCCCACTCCACATCATATTTCTTCATTCCCCGCTCACTTTCTTTCTCCGTCTCTCTGAGCCCAGATGTCTCCTGCTTTCACCAGAAGCTCCCCTCAGGACTGACTTTAACCAGTCCTTCGGCGCAGTGCCGCAGAGCGTTTATTTACTCCGTTCATTTTGCGTTGCAGAAACATGCCAAGCCGGGTCAGCGTTGCGATTTTGCGGTTCAATTGTGTTTTCTTTCTGGCTGCGAGCCACGTCAAGAGCTCTGAACCGGACTACCTCTTTCCAGACACAGAACAAGGTTCGTGTTTCCATGCATAAGAATCATACACTTGCGTTCATATCTTATTTACAACATTTAGGTTGTTGTGTCCACTGAAGGAGCTGGTAAGTCCCTCTGATATATGCCAAGCGTTTCACTGAGGCGAGCGGTCAGCTGCAGGAAAGTCCATGTCTCTGTTTATGGAGTTCTGAACTTTATGTAGTCTCATTCTGTAAAAGCACATTTAACCCTTTAATGCGTGAATGGTTCAGTTTCAAAGACAAAGTCTTTTTTTTTACTTCAATATAATCACACTCAATTTTGTATACCATGCTTTTTGGGAGACTTACACAGCTGTTCATTGTAATACAAGGTTTATTTGGTGCATCAACACATTCATCAGTCATTTTGACTGTTTTATGTTATCTGACATGAAGAGGACCATGATATATAATTATGTTTAAGGATCAAAGGCAATCATTCATGGTGGTTTAGATGTAACATCTCTCTCTGAACGGTTAAAATGACTTGATAAATCTCATGAATGAACGCCTGGGTTATATTTTACCATATCAAAAGAAAAGGAAAATTTGTAAATACAAAATGTGTGTTTTTTTGTTTTTTTTTGCTATATTTTCAAGGCATGTAAGCACAATTTCAATCTCAAATATTGTGAAAATATATATGAAATATATATAATTTTTAATACATTTTTTAAATTATGTGTGTGTATACAGATATATAATAAACAACAAAAAGTTTGTTCTAAAGGTCCTACAGCCTTAATTAAATGAGAACATAGGTAAATAATATAGGTAAAATATAGGAATTTAGGGTGAAAAATTACAATATTTATTTATTTATTTATTTATTTTGTGAGATTCACCCCAGAAGATATGTTGCTCCAAAAAAGATTGTTGTTTTCAAAGGAGAATTGTCTTATTTTCATTTCTAGAGCTCTTCATCAAGCAGCACTCTGAGTTTTATGTGGATCATCCTGAAAAAGTGGACGGAGATGGGAATTTCATCTCATACTCTTTATCACATCACTTCTCTGACAGGCGACATAAGAGGGACCTGAATTCAGCAGAGAGGCGAGTGTATTACAAACTCAACTACAAAGGTCAGGAGTTTACTCTCAGTCTAACCACCAATGACAATCTGCTCTCCAATGAATATGTGTTGGAGAAACACAACGGGAGTTTAACAGAAAAGCAGTCACAAACATTTGGGAGTGGCGCCTGCCACCTTATTGGCACAGTAACTGATGGTTACGTGCAGGGAACCGCCGCCATCAGCACCTGTGAAGGACTGGTGAGAAATATCTGATTTAATCTGTCAGTTCTTTTACGTATCAGGTAATTGATTTCTGGTGTGAATTCACTTACTGTACTTGCATTAGTGCCGATGCTATCATTGGCTATTAAAGGAATAATTAATCCAAAAATAGAAATGTGCTCACCCTCAGGCCAGTCAAGATGTAGATGAGTTTGTTTCTTCATCGGAACAGATTTATTTTTACAAACACTCAGCTTTTCACTTCACAATACATTAATCGTTGTACTGGAGTGGTGTGGATTACTTGTGGATTATTGTGATGTTTTTATCAGCTCTCATTCTGACGGCACCCATTCACTGCAGAGGATCCATTGGTGAGCAAGTGATGTAATGCTAAATTTCCACAAAAAAGAAACAAACTATTTACATCTTAGATGGCCTGAGGGTGAGTACATTTTCATTTTGGGGTGAACTATTCAGCCAATATCAGCACTCAAAATTGACCTTATTTACTTTCTTAATGCATGTTCCTGATTTAATTCTGAACGATTCGTCAGTGCACATTAAAGAAAACAATCTTTTTCTCTGAAAAAACTTTTTTTTTATCCGATATCATCTATTGGTTAATATTGACATAATGTAAACATAACATTGATTAATATCATTAATGTTGAAATCTGTTTTACTCTGAAATGCATCACATTTCATAGCTTTTAAATTGATCTAAATGTCTTTCTTTGAGAAGCCCCTATTAAACAATGTTATTTATATACTATTATATTAGTTTATATTTTGAACTGGCTTTTATTATTATATTTTCAGTCTTCAGTTTCATTTTAGTTTATGTTTTATTAATTTAAATTTTAAATATATTACTATTATTAAATATTATATATAATAATCATTATTATTAAATATATAAATATTATTTTAAAATATTTGTATGTAGCTTTGATTTAATTTTATTTCAATGTTAGTTTTTTTAGTACTTCAACAACAGTTAAAAAGGAATATATTTTAATTTACATTTTTAAGCTTAAGCTTTTCATCTAATATTTACATTTAGTTTTATTTCAGCTTCATTTCAGTAACAGATAGTTTATTCATTAAAGATAATAACACTTCTAGTGATAAGCTCTCGTAAACCTGGTGGTCCCAGACTGAACAAATGCCTGTCTGGAGCGACATCGACTGGCCTGTTAGACTCTTAACTCTTTGGCCCCTGTTTTGTTTGAAAAAAATAAGTGTTTGTCCCTCAGAGTGACTCTAGAATGAAACATCAGTGTGTGGGCCGACTGTATCCTGTGTCCGCAGAGTAGATCTGAAAGAGTTTATATTTTCCCGATAATGACCGTCTGACATTAAAGATATATGACATATGATGCGATTTCAATTTTTCCTTTCTCTTTGGAGTGTTACAAGCTCTTGGTGCATAAAGAAGATCTGTAAATTTGCAAAGACTAAAGTCTCAAATTCTTTAAAAAAAGAGATATTTTTTATAAAAGTTAAGAGTCAACCACGCGAGGAGAAACAATAATGTACAGTATGTGGAAAAGAATGTGTTTTTTGAACCTTAAACCGCATAAACACATTTCATTACACCAAATACACAAAATAATGTTCTTTTTAGCAACATCATATGACCCCTTTAAATTATCCCACTTATTACATGGCTACCTACCAAATAAACATATAAATGAACATGAAATATTGATCTGAGTTCAAATGATTTTATAATCCAGAAATAAAGAGAGCTGGAAATGAGTTGTGTGGGAAAACAATCAATTATTCTATTTAACATTATGATACAACAATATTTAACTGCAGAAAGCCACGACTGACCAATCAGAATAGAGAGCCGTGTAATAAGATCCAATAGTAGCCTGTTATTCAGAGTGGATGCTCATAAAATGCGGGGAACTTGAGAAGAACTGTAACCAGGTCAGTGTATCAGCACATAACATGACTCATTCAAACTTGGCAATTGAACAAAAAGTTGCAAAGGGGGAAAAGAGGAGAGGCAGAATGAATCGGTTGTTGGTGAAAGCACAGGAAAGAGTTTTGGACTTTAAAATGAGCTTTGATTTATTAGGCGCATGCATAATTTGCAAAAGCATGCATGCAGTACCTGCACTAAATGCTCCTTCTGTCTGTCAGTCATTGCCTGAGCATGCATGCTCCTCCTGCAAGGTCGTGTTCATGTCAATCAACAGCGTTTCATTCTGTTCTCATGTTATCTTTCCTTACAAACATTTGCTTTCAGTCTCTGGTGCTATTACACTCACATTCCATTAACTTTTATGTATTCGCTCCTCAGAGACTGGTGTTTTTATTTTATCAGAGAAGCAGAAAATAACAGACAGATAGTCTTCTGTAATGTTGTGCAGGATTTCGAGATGATGCCAGGTGCTTTTGCTTTTATAGTGGACAAAGTCAGGATTCTTTGCCATGTGTGTGACTAAACGAAAATGTAATGAGGTTCAGCTGATTAGCCTAGCACATTTATGCACTGCCAACATGCACGAATGTGCTAAGGTTTTGTGCAGTGCATTTAGTGGTGGAGCAGTGGCCAAAAGATACACTTTGCAGAGCTTGTGGAACATTTCCTGTAGTTTTTAAAGGAATAGTTTACCCAAAAATAAAACTTCTGTCATCATATGCTTGAATTTTTTTCAGTTTTACTCCTATTTTTCCATACAAGGAGAATTTATAGTGATCACCACTATTTTGCAAAAATGTTGACTGTGTTAAATGCTTTTCCCATCTTCTATTTTTGTCCAGTCAGGGTTGTTCTGCCCCAAACTCACACACCATCGGTTAAGCCGAAAGTTAACATTTCAAAATGCTTGAACAAACCAAACACTACTGTTCAAAATTTGGGGTCGGTAAGATTTTTTTATAATGTTTTTGAAAGAAGTATGCTCACCAAGGCTGCATATATTTGATCAAAAATGCAGTAAAAACAGTAATATTGTGAAATATTATTACAGTTTAAAATAACATTTTCTATTTGAATAAAATTTGAAATGTCATTTATACCTGTGATGCAAAGCTGAATTTTCAGCATCATTACTCCAGTCTTCAGTGTCACATGATCCTTCAGAAATCATTCTAATATGCTGATTTGCTGCTCAAGAAACAGTATTATCAATGTTGAAATCAGCTGTGCTGCTTAATATTTTTGTGGAAGCTGATACAGTACATTTTCACAATACTTTGATGAATAGAAAGTTCAAAAGAACAGCATTTAATCAAAATAAAATCTTTTGTAAACTGATATGTCTTTACTGTCTCTTTTGATCCATTTAATGCATCCTTTCTGAATAAAAGTATTGATTTCTTTCAACAACAAACAA